GGGCTAGTTTGCTTTGCCTGGCAAAGAACGAGTCTGTCCAGCAGGCAAGCAGGCTAATCCATTGCTCCACCAATTCAGTGCACGGCTGAATCTCGTGGGGCGAAAGCGCCATTACGGCGTGCTGGGCGAAATGGCTATGGTGTACAGGCACATTGAAGTGAGCGCTGAGGGCAGGGAAATGCTAGGTTCCTGGCTGGTTGCACTGACCTGGCGGCACAGAGCCGGTGTGTTGACCCTAATGCGAGTCCAATGTGCAAGTGCAGTGTGTAGCAGGCACACTGTGGTACTTTTAGCAAGAGTAGTGCCCCATTATGTGAGGGCGTGGTACACAAAGGCTGTCCAGTGCTGTACAGAGTCCAAAATGCATGACAATGCACGAGTGCCCTCGATCAGGGTGAGGGCCACAAGGCAAACGGCAATGATGTGGCAGAAGAGCTTAATGCGCAAAAGGACTGTGTAGAACTCGTCGAGCATGACTTCAAGGTCTAAGTAGCTTCTGGCTAATGTGGTGTGGATGGCGTCTAAGGTGTCGCCGTCACACTCCATGGCACAAAGGGCAAGGCGTTGGAATGGAGGGTGAAAGAATGCTTGCAACCGACATAGGTCGGCGTTTAGCGGAAATGCAAGTACGCAGGCAAACACCATACATGGTGTACACAAATTGCTGGGTCTGGAGAGCAGGGTTTTTGTGGAAGTCCTGGAGGAACCTCAGTTGCCAAGGGCTTGCGGCGCAAGGCAACGGCCCCGGAGTGATGCAAAACCAGGGCAAACTCATGCTTGCATGGTCTGTTGCATAACCGGGGTCATGAATGATTAACCTGATCGCAGGACTTGGTGAGGACCCTTGAGGGCCTGAATTGCCAAGGGCTCGCGGCGCAAGGCAACAACCCTGGAGGGATGCAATTCAAGAGCGGGCTCAAGAATGCATGACTGCGGTCATGAATGAAGGCACTGCGCCTTGTGGAGGTCCCGGAGGAGCCTCAATTGCCAAGGGCTCGCGGCGCAAGGCAGCAACCGCGAGGGCCGCGATTCAAGAGCGGACTCGAGAATGCATGACTGCGGTCATGAATGAAGGCACTGCGCCTTGTGGAGGTCCCGGAGGAGCCTCAATTGCCAAGGGCTCGCGGCGCAAGGCAGCAACCCCGGAGGGCCGCGATTCAAGAGCGGACTCAAGAATGCATGACTGCGGTCATGACAAAAGGCGTTGCGCCTTGTGGAGGTCCCGGAGGAGCCTCAAATGCCAAGGGCTCGCGGCGCAAGGCAGCAGCCCCGGAGGGCCGCGGTTCAAGAGCGGACTCAAGAACGCATGACTGAGGTCATGACTGAAGGCATTGCGCCTTATGGAGGTCCCGGAGGAGCCTCGGTTGCCAAGGGCTCGCGGCGCAAGGCAACAACCCCGGAGGGATGCAAAACAAGAGCGGACTCAAGAATGCGTGACTGGGGTCCTGACAGATGTCAGTGCACCAGTGTGGAGGTCCCGGAGGAGCCTCCGTTGCCAAGGGCTCGCGGCGCAAGGCAACAACCCCGGAGGGATGCAAAACAAGAGCGGACTCAAGAATGCGTGACTGGGGTCCTGACAGATGTCAGTGCACCAGTGTGGAGGTCCCGGAGGAGCCTCCGTTGCCAAGGGCTCGCGGCGCAAGGCAACAACCCCGGAGGGATGCAGTTCAAGAGTGGACTCAAGAATGCGTGACTGGGGTCCTGACAGTAGTCAGTGCACCAGTGTGGAGGTCCCGGAAGAGCCTCGGTTGCCAAGGGCTCGCGGCGCAAGGCAACAACCCCGGAGGGATGCAGTTCAGAGCGGACTCCACATTGCAAGTCTTGGGTTCTGACTGCAATCAGTTCGTGTTGGGAAGGTCCCGCAGAAGCTGTACAATGCCGAAAGGCGGGCGGGCACGGCTACACTTGCAAGAAAAAAGGGTAAGGAATGCTGCAGGCAAGGTAGCCACACAAATACATTGAAGCACAGTGTAATGTAGTTGGCTCAAGATCCGGCCACGTGTCGCGTCACCTTTTCACGTTAGCGCATTGTAAAAAATGCAAGGCTGTCACTAAAGGCAGAGTGACGCCGGTGCAGCGTGCGTCACCACAGGCTGCGACAGTTATCGCATGGTTGGAAGGCAAGGGCTAAAACATCGCGCCGTGCCAAGTGGTGACACTGCCGATGGTGAAACACTTTGCGTTTTGGCAGGATGTACACAGTATCGGGGCGGCACGAAGGCTGGAAGTCGAAGGACCCAAAGAGGGCCTTGCTGTACTGGCGTAGCAACCACCAGATGGCAAGGCAGGTAAAGCCGGACACAAGGGCTGTGTAAACAGCGAGGCTCATTCCGAAACACAGTAAGGCGTCCATGGCGGCGTTTGTTTCGAAATGAAACCGCAGGTTTGGGTCAAGGCTTGAGCCAAAATGGCTACGGCATCCAAAACGGCCAACGCATAGTTCGATTCACCACATGCCCTAAACACAAGGGAAAAGAAACCCTAAGCGTCTCCTCTTGGCTCCTTCGCCTCCTCCAGCCGCAGCTTGGCCTCCTCCAGGTCCACCTCCTTGGGGTCCAGGCCGCGGGCACTCCGCCTTGCGATGCTCCAAACTCCCGCAGTTCCAGCGCCGCTCCTTTTGCCGATCCAGGCTGTCCCATACGTGGGCAAACTTGCAGTTCTTGCCAAACCTGCAACCCGCGTCGGTCGCGTACCATTTGCACGCCCTTGACAAATCCACCACCCTCGCCTTCCCGGGAGTCCCACCACCACTCGATGGCTTCCAGGGTCCAGCCTCCTCCTTTCCTGCACCACCCATCGCCTTCACCTTGGGAGCGGTCTCCTTGCCGCCCTTTGCCAACTCCGCCGTTTCCGACTCCGCCTGGAGGTACTCCGCGAAGCCGCTTCCTGAGTCGGCCTCGTGTCCAGGTCTCACCGTGGACATTCGGTAGCTACTCTGCTGATCCAACTTCGACAGAGCCGCAGCGAGCTTGTCCAGGGCAGACACCAACAACGTGGCATCCGGCAACGCCACTCCAAGCTCCAGCGCCCTTTTCCTCCAGTGCCTCCACGACCTCAGCTGCTTAGCCACCTCCGAAGCGTTCCCGCCCGTGCGCGTTCCGAATCTACAGAATGTACAGGCGATAGATGATGTTCACCATGCTCAACTGCCTGTTGGCCACCAGCTCCTTCTTGACGCTCTCCGGGAGCGCTTTGAGGACCATGGCCACCCCTCTCTGCTCAGTGCGAGGCAAGTCCATGCAGACCAGCGGAAGCTCCGGCTTGATGCGCAGCCTCTGCAACGGGCTCGCCACCAACCACTCCGCATAGGCCTCCTTGGCACTAGCGCACACCTCCTCCCACCACATCGCGCTGTAGGTCGAGATGTCCTTCATGTAGGTCGATGTGGCCATCCAGTCCCCGAAGGTCAGCGCGCTTCCGTCCCCCACCAACTCCGGCAGATCCGTAGCCCGTCCAGTCTTGTTGGGCATCTCCTTGACCTCCGGCCGACTCTTCGGCTTCTGCTGTAGCAGGGGCGCCACTGGCATTGCTGGATTCTCCTCCTCTGGTTTCCGTGCCTCACCAACGTCCTTGGAAGTCGACCTCGACCTTGTCCACCTCGGTCTGCTTGCAGCCGGCTTTTCCTCCCTTGACGTAGACCTCGAGCGCCCCCATGCCGGCTTGTAACTCACCCCGTCCATGACCCAACCATTTTCAGGGTTTGGCCATTCATGATCATAAGGGGGTGGATCCTGCGGCACCCTGGCGCCACCCGGCGTCCTCCAGCTTTTGCCTCTTGGACCGAATTCCCGGAGGCGGTGGTGGAGGTGTTTCCGGCCTCGGTGGCTGCGGCTCCTCGTGTGAAATTGCTGAGGCCGTTGTTCCAGCACTGATCTGATCGGTCAAGAGCTCCACGTGCTTCTCAGCCTCTGCCATCCTCCGGTTCTGCTCGGCCTCCGCCTAAGTTGCTCCACTTTGTGTCGCAGCTCATTCCGCTGCCGCAACGCCTCAGCCAGGTTCATGTTGACCGCACCGTACTCCTCCCTGCTGAGTTCCCCTCAAGACGGTCCTCAGGCGCTGGCCTCCCCCTGTCTCCTGCCGCACCATCCCAATCCTCTCCACCTCCCCCTGAAGGCCCCTTGTTCCGCCAGCCCTTGTTCGGCGGACCCTCTCCTCCGATCCGCATCAGATCCCTCTTGACCGCCTGCCTGACCGGCTCCTCCTCATCACCTGACTCCGGGACCGGTGGCACCTTCCGGCCTTGCTTCACGAAGCCTCACCTCCTCCTGCACCCGCTTAGACCAACCTTCACAGTGTGTGCATTCCACGTGAAGGCCCCCACTTTCCTTGGTCGATACTGAGTGCTGCCGCGATCCCTTCTCTGCCTAGTGTGGGGCCCCGCCTCGCCTAGGTAGGGGTTGGGTTTGGGTCCTCTTGGTGTGTGTTTTTGCAAAGGTCCCCTAACTTCGGCCTCTTCCTTGTCTAGTGTGGGCCCCGCCCACCTAGGCTTGTGTTTCCTTTCTTTCTCAGGAACAACATTTTGTTCCCTTTCGGGACATCTTCGCCTGAGTTATGAACACACAAAGAGCTGATCCTGACGAAGGTGAGGCTCTCCGAGGTAGACCTGCGCAAGCATTTTCTTAAGAAACCCAAGGCTGAGCACAGATCCGGCAAGATTAAAATCCAGCAGCTTACGCCGCTCCTTCTCTTGCCAAGGCACGCATGAAGTCTTCAGTGACTAAGGTCCCCAATTGGCAAAAAAAGAGAAGTGATGTATTTGATAAGACTCATCAGATCCGAAAGCCTGCAACTACATTGCACCTTCCCAAGGAGCAAATCAAGAGGTTTTTCTCGCCTGTGACATGCTACCCGCTGCGCCTCTGACAAAAAGTTTGGGTTGAGTATCATGGATCCTGCTTCCGCCATGGAGCCGCTTTGACAGCTCATCCACCTTGACCTGAACTCCTTTGAGGGCCACCACGGGGCTGCCGGCAAACTCGCGACTAATCTGGCTCTGTCACCCCACAAGGTAACCAGCACGCTGTGGCCGCTGTCGTCTGCCACAGTGATCTCTCGCTTGACTAAAGCTTTTCCTTCTTTGGTCTGAAACTCTTGAGGGTGCTCCGCTGAAACGATGACTCCGCAGATATCCACGCTGCTAGGCACAGGCATCTGTGTCACTGAAGCAATCTTCTGCACGGCGAGGCGCACTGCTCCGATGTCAGCGTCGTCGTCTACCATGTGTATCTGACATCTGCCGTCGAACACCAGCTCGTAGCCATGCTTGAGCACGCTGTACTTCTTCTGGGCAGGGCGCACGCTGCCGTTGCACAGCGTGAAGCATCTTCCGCACTGCATGAGATCATAGTGCTGCTCCGCAGCTTCGTTGAACAAGCTTGCACGAATCTTGCCTCCTTCTCTATCCAGCAGCTCCACTGAGAACACCATTCCCTGCAGGCCGACCAAATCCACCAAACTCAACCAGTCACTGCAAACCTAACATATGCGAAGACTCGACAACTCCCACGAGCCTGTCCACCACCATTCTTGTTTTGGAACTGACGCAGCTGTGACCGGCTGGTCACTCTAGCTCTCTGACTGGAAAAAAAGCGCGATGTTCGCTCATGCTGCAGTTTGCTTCGAGCAAAACAACTAACTAACTAAAGCCAAAACACCTGCGAGCCGCTGCCAAAGACAACGTGTGAAAGACAACACCGCCCAAGCACAGCACACGGGCCGTCAACTCTCATTCTTTTGCTTGGTGCTCCATTTGGACTTCTGCTGCGCGGGACCGATTCTCCGCTAGCTATTCCGCGTGGCCCAGCCTTCGGCTGGGCTACTGACCTAGCCTTCGGCTTGGCAATCCGAGACGCTGCCGGTGCGTTTGTCTCCCAGGCGCCAGCCTCGGGAGACCATGTCTTGCTGATGGACCAAGTCGTCGTCGCCCATGATGCAATTTTTGGTGACATCCATGTCGCGGCATTGCTGGCAGACGACCGCGTACCGGTAGTAGCGAGGATCGTCCTTGGTCGCTAAAGGCTCACATGGCCATTGCTCATCTCGCGCAACCAAAAACAAAACATCCCTCGTCAACTCTATGACAGCCGAGCCGCGGTGCAATAAAATGCTGTCGTCTCTGTCAGATCCCGACAAGTCATGTTGATCATCATATAATCTTTAGTCGTCACATTTACGAAATCCGACGACTCGCCTACCGGCGGATCATGTTGGGCGCAGCTTCTTTCATCCGCTCGTCTGGCCGAAGTTGCCTTGGGGGGCGGCGACTTCATGACGGCGCCTGGTGGGAACTGCCGCAGCACACATGGCGGCGGCGCCTTGGTTGGCAGATGTGCCGGCTGCACGCAGGGGGCTTTCGCCTTTGTCTCGAAGGCTGGCGGCTGGGGCTCAGCAGGTGTTTGCGTGAAAAAAAAACGAAGTTGGATGCTGCTGAGCAAGCCTTGCCTGAACAGTCACTCCGCACAAAATCCTTTTCGCGCCATAGCCTGCTTTGCCACGTCCTGCCTTGGGCAGACGCTTGACGCGCAACAGCGTCACTGGGCTTCGCGCTATCCACTGACGGACGTCCGCCCAAGCCAGTGAAACTCACAGTGGGACTGGGCGACCAGGACCCGCCTTTGGCGGACGCCGTCGCCCTTTGCTCTGCAACACTGTTTTAGGGGATGAATTGCGACCCCCGCAGACACGTCTCTGGTATGTTCACTCACAGTAGCGTTGCAGTAGCGAAACAAACGAGCAAACCTCGGCCTGTTGGCAGCGCAAAAAAGAAATGACCGGACTTCGTCCTGTCGGCATTTGCTGGCTACTCAACTCGGACTGCGTGCTCAACATACCGACCTCCAAACAGTGCTTGATAATGTTGCATACCAAACACAGCTGCTGGAACGTAGGCCGCGCTCTGTTGGTAATGTGAGAAATCTGCAGAGCTTCTAGGTGATTGGTCAAGCACCCGCCTTCGAGGCCAGTGGTTGCTGCAAATGCCTCCGTCCAGGACTTTTCTTGAAGCCAGCCAGGGACCCTGGCCAGAAGCTGGAGCCAGTCGCGCACTGTCACTTGCTGCTGCGTCACTCTCATGCGCTGAAACTCCTGACTTAAACGCTGCTTGACAGAGGCAAAGACAAACACGTCTGCCACCTGCAGCAGCGGCGTCATGCCAGCTGGAATGATGACGACTTCCAAACAACATGCCCTCGCAAAGCGCAAAGTCGCCGGCGCAATGCGAGCACTCGCTGTGTCCAGAAGCAGCACTGGCTGGCAGAATTCTTTGTACGGCTCGCACACTCGATTGATGCGGCTCACCACGCGCATCATGGAGGCGCCATTACTCCACGACGACTTGCATCGCCACACCACAAAGTTGTCCGGCAACACCAAGCGATTGCGAACTCGCACCGCTAAACGATGAGTGTTGCAGAGCAAAAAGCAAGGCATGAGATGCTGCAGAGACGGCCGGTTGCAGACAGTTGCCAAAACCGAAGCCGTTCCTCGCTTCTTGTTTGTTGAAACTGCAATTTGACCGCCAAATCCTTTCTTCACGACTCCTGTGACTGGCTTGATGTGATACGGAATGGGCGTCTTGTCGATGTTAATCAAAAGCAAAGGCTTGCCCTGGTGCTGAGCTTTCAGCTGAGTGTGTCGGAGCCATTGCCAATACACTTGTGCCTGCATACCCGTTTTTGAGCACAAGTACTGAACCCAGTTTGTGGGTCAACCATCTCCACGAGCTAGCGGTAGTTCATTACGACCCTCTTTTTGGGGCTAAAAAGTGTACCCATTTTTGGCGTCACTAAAAAGCTTCCCGACAGACCCAACTGCTGCTGCAGACACTGCAAAAAAACGGAGCCATCCTGCCTAGTTGAATCTTCACTATAGCCCAAAATCAATTTAGAGGTATACCTGGACTTCAAGTGCGGATTGCTTCAGCCGCTCTGGAGGTGGCTTCTCGAGCTACAAAACGCTTCCTGCAGCATGAGCTGGGCCGCCAGGGCGAAGCCCGGGCAGGCGCTCAGTGTCCTCCATTCATGGAGACGTCCTTGGGCACATTCAAGCACGAATACGTATTTCAGGGCTTGATCATTTGCTCCCCCTGCTGGCTCGGGTGCTGGGAGAGGCCATGGTGACTTGGCAATCCGAGCTTGCAAGCAAGGCGAAAGGCAAGGGGCACCTTACTTTCTGCAGGCAGTTTTACCAGACGCTGAAGAAGGGTGCCCAGCTGAACAAGTTAGAGCCTGGCTGGGTCGATGAAGGAGGACAAGCTGGTCACCGACAAAG